AAGTAAATCAGAGCTAAAAAAGTGCAAAAACGCAGGCAAATTTGCCTGCGTTGGTCTACATATTAAGGGATAAATATCTAGGCTATTAAAATAGTCGCATTAGTTAAAACACCCAGAGCAATTTTATTATAAAAAAATCGTTTACAACCTAATATGTGTTACTTTTAACATGTATTATTCTGTGAAATGAAAACTACTATCAGCATGTGCATGTTGTCATATTGTCATATCATTTTTAACATCTCATAAAATGTATCTGTATATGCCACATGGTCCATGACATCTTGTGCATTGTGACTAAACATACTTTTATACTCATTTTTTATTATGTTTTTCAACCTTATTGCAAAAACTTGCATTAATCAAGTTAGTTGTATGAAATTCTACGTTTATGTAATATGTACTACTACCTTTTTTAGAAAATCGGAATCTGTATTGGGTAACTTCCTTTTACCATCTACCATGAGGAAGTAGGCGCAAAACAGATCTATTAGTATAAATAATAGTTGATTTGAAATTAATATTAAACTACTTTATCATCTACTAGCTGTGTTATCAAGTCCAAAATGACTTGGCACCCATTACTTCCAAATATACAATGCATGCAAGTGCCACTCACCAATGTACCTTCAGTATTAGACTTATACGCATTTGATGTGGTATCATCTGGAGGTAGTACTCTTGGCGAAGGTTATGAAATTTTGCCTCAGGACTGAACAAATAAGGGTTGGGTAAGATAATATTTTTTTTATTCATATTTGTGAGTATGAATTATATGTGAAGTAAACTTATTATTTTCAAAATTTTAAGCTATATAAAGAAGATGTAAAAACTATTACACTTGTAGATGAAAACGCAAAACAATTATCTAAGTCAATGTTTGCATATACAGAATATCTTGGATGTTCTATGTGGGTATATAAAATAAAAAATATTGATATATTTAGTTTCACAAAAATTTGTGAAGTATTAATTATGTTTCTTGAAAGAATAAGTGCCGCAAAGGCAAATGCATCTGGAAAGGTCGGATTGTAGTTCTTCAGAACGAACCTCTTAATCTATGTAATATCGAATACCACAGAAGTCATGATCTAGAACATGTTTTGAAAAATCACTTCAAATGGCAAATTCAATCAGAAAAACAATAACAAACAGAGCGGCAAACATAACTCCTTCCTTATTGGCAACAGGTTATAGAGCGAAATTTTATTTAAAACAAAATAAATAAATAAGGAAAAAAAAAAAAGGGAAAGAAAGAAGAAAAAAAAATCAAATTTGCTAATTAGCTTTTTTTTTTTTTAGAATTAATGAATTGTGCAAAGATTTTAAGTACAACTGTTTCTACACCAGAAAACCAAACACAACCAATGTCTACTCGGTTTGTTCCTAATCTTGAAACAATACAGAATGCCCTGAAATATGATAAAAAACTGCATTTTCCAAGTGTATTAGAATATGAAAAAGTAAGTAATTGCTTTTATAAGAAGTTATTTTTTCTTTATTTAATTTTTACTTATCAACAGATTTGTACTATAATAGATGCCCATGAGTCCGAAGACATTGTTATATCAAAGCAGTATGGTGTTAAGAATGCTCAAGACCCCAAAGAACAAGCTGTACTTCTTGGCATCACATCTACAATTATGCCAACACTATTAACAAAGTATTCGAATTTTTTAGGTGTAGACTCTACTGGTCATTGTAACAGCTTGAATTTTCCAAACACGGCCTTTATAGTTAGATCAGATGAACCTCGTGGTTGAATTGTGGCAACATTTGTAAGTGATAAGAAAATAACACCAGTTGTTGATCTGATGTTCGAATCGGTGGGTCTTTAGTTGTTTTATTCTAGGTTTTTACTAAATTTGGCTTGATAATTCTAATATCAACTAGTTAAAGCTAATTCAATATAGTATTAAAAATGACATTCAACTAAACCCTAAATGGTTAGCAATGGATAAATGGGACCCTTATCTAACAGCAGCCAGAAAATATTTTCCCAATACGCAGGTAGTTTTGTGTGACTGGCATGAGGGTGAGTTTTCTTAACGTTAAATTATTCTCGTTACCGTATGTATGCGTATCACTACCTTGCATGACAAATACTGTAGATTAATTTTAAAATTATTTATTCTATATATACACGTGATTTTTAATTTTCCACTATGAAAAAATCGTGTTACACTGAGTATTATAGGTAGTATTTGTATTTTAGTTTTCTTATTTTTAGACTATTGCTATTTTTCTAACCGACACACTTAAGGAATGGTTTACGAAAAATCTAAATGACCAATGGATTAGAGATTGAACATTCTATCAATTTCGGTTTGTTAAGAGATCTAGAGACCAAAAAGAATTTGATCAACAGAAGATTACTATCTTGAATCCTAAAGAGTTTCAGTCTACTATTGGAATTACCAACTTAGATATTGCAAAAACTATCATATCTTATTTTCGAACACATTGGTTCGCGATTAGGTTGGTAAGTAAAAAAAATAAATAAAAATAAATAAAGAAATAAATTAAAAATTAAAATTCATATTAACATATATACTATATATTAACATCATCACAGATACTTGGCCAGATTATAGGCATAACGGCTGTTCTATGAAAACAAATATGTTACTAGAGAGCTACTTTAAAAAAGATATGATATTACATTACCGGAGAAGATATACAAAGTCTTTACACTCTAATTTTGAGAAAATAGGTACATCAATGCGCGTAGATGCAGGAGAAGTTGAAAGGTAAATATATGCTGATTTATTTGTTTGTTTTTTTTTATATTTTTAAAATTAAACTTTTTTTTAAGGTTTTGAAATGGAGAAGGCAAGCAATTTACGAAATCAAAGTTACAACGAGAAAAAAATAAAATACATATAAAAGGAGGGCTATTATATAAAAAAAATCTTGTCTAAGGTAAATATGGATTATTATTACACGGATCTTATGTAACAACCCATGCTTTTTTTATTTAGTTATTGCACGAATTGTACGCAGACACTGTGCAATAATATATTATTGTATAGGTATGTGAATAACCCGTGGCCGAAGGCCCTACATACCCATAAAATAACAATAATACAATATATTTCTCATTGCTGTGCGTATACATTTACAACTATTAACTCTAGAGGTTGACCAGGATACCTGGATTGTGTTCTGTTTCAATACGGATATTCAAAATGTTGCTGCTAAATCGGGCGATAGTGATTCTGATAAAGAAAACACTGAATCTAAGACATCCGATTTATTTGATCAAAAGAAAACTTTGTATATTACACGTAGGAGTAAAAAATTTGCTTGCCTGTGTGGTTTCAATGTAATCTGCAGACACGATTGCCAGGATATTATAGCTGTTCGCTTCTTTATTGGCAAGTTGAAACTACAAAAGTATGTTTTATTTTTTATTTATTGATTTCTTTCTTATATTAATATTCCAATGTTTTTTTTATAGTACTTCATTTTCTAATAGTAAATCAAAGCCTGAAAGGTAAAAAATAAGAATTCAATTGTAGTCTAGTATTTTTCGCTAAATTTTACCAAAGTATAAGGAATTAAAATTAGTAAATTGATGATATTAATTTATTTTTTATTTTATTTTATTTTTTTTCTACATAGACCTGTTGCAAGCAGTTCTCTTGAGTTTTATCTTCGTCAGAAGGATGATAATAGTCATAACGAAAATGAGCTTAATTTACCTAAAAAAAGAGGTCCCAAAAATAAAAAAAAAAACAGATTGGTACCAGGAGAGCAAGTTTATCTTCGAGATGCAATTTTGAATGAGCCTTACTATAAGGTGCAGATTGTTGAAGTTATTGGTGAAGACAAGGTTATCATAGACGTTACATTTGAAAGCAGCAATATGGAACAACATATAGTTCAACTAGCTGACATAATTGGGTATGCTGATGAACAAGTAAAAAAAAAAAAAAAGGTAAGTTACTATATGGAATATTTGCTAGAAGAATAACCTCCCAGGACTATATAGATATTATTAATAAAGGTTAAATTCCTGGAGAATTATTTTTCTAGCGAAGATCCCATATACTATATACAAATCACTCTCGTTATAGTGAAGTGATTAAGCTGTGAAATTTCCTTTACTATATTGAGAGGGTTTTTATATAGACTGTTCTTCACTATACTTATATCGAGAGTTCACTATAACGAGAGTAACTTGTATATTTTGGTTTTTTTTTATCATATATATTTTTAAATTATTTCTTTATAGCCCAACTCATTATCTAAGGATTCTTATAGAAACGTTGTCATTTATACAATGCTATATGGGGGAAAGAAAGGCGATCTACACTTAACTTCTACATGTCTAGTAGATACGAGCCTCACACTTATCCAAAGTGCTTTTACTCAGCAAAATATTTATAGCCAAGCCACAGCTTTTGCTATAGCTGACCCTATTTCATATACACATCTTCTTATCAAAGTTTTTGACCGAATGAAGCAAAAGCAATGGGTAGAGGCCAAGCTTCTTTGGGTTGAAAATTCATCTTTATATAACAACAAATTAAAAAAAAGATACATAAACTTATTTAGAAGTCTTTTGGAGCTATTTTTTAAACAATTTTTTCAAGACTCCTTGGATTGGAATCTTCTTATTATCAAAAGCACAGTAACAACTGTGTGTAATTCAGATTACTGCTCTAAAAAAATTCTGTTGCTGACACACTCTTATGATATCATACTTACGTAAGTAACAATAGTTTTTCATTTTCATAAATATATATCTATTTTTTATTTTATTTTTTTTTTTTAAAAAACTGCAATTACCAATATTACTAGGAAGAGGTAACTACTTTGAAGCTTGTCTAAAATATTGGCAAGAGCCTTGTATTGTCTTCTGTGGATCAGAGTTAGTAACTATAAATGGAAACCTCTGAAAAATGTTCCTGTGAATGCCTTTATGGTTGATAAATATGCATCATTAGAAAGCGAAAAAATCATGTGGGTGATTTATTTACTCTACTTATTATATTTTAATATATATATATATATACTTATATTTTAATATATATATATATATACACTTATATTTTAATATATATATATATATATATATATTATTTTTTTTAAAGCCATTTGTATCTGTGTGTCGGTGAAGCTACTTCAACGAGACAAATCGACCGATGGTTACCCCTAATTCTTGTAGTAAATGTTGCAGAAATTAATATTACCGATGAAGGACTTTTACTTGAAAATAAAGACCTTCCAGAGAAAATTAGTTTCTCTGATGACGTTAATATAAAACAAAGGTAATATTAATTCCGATTCTGCTTACTATGGGCTTTATACAGTATACATATATATGTTGTATTTTTTTTCCTTTTTTTTTTTTTTTAGATACCGTCTTATGGGGGCTTCCTTTTGTGATGGTAACTATCATATTGCCAATGTTCGTTTTGAAGATGACAAAAATGCAGGCTGGTATCAATATGATGGTTTGGGAAAAACCTATCGTGTAAGAGCAATGTTTATAGGAAATCCACGCCCATCTCACAAAAATGGCTATGCTATAGATTTCGCAATTTATGTAAAGATTTGAAAGTCTTATTAGTCTAAAGAAAATCTTTACAAGACTAATTGTTTTATAAAGTAAATAATTTCGTTTTTAATAAAAATTTTATAGTCTTAATAAAGTGAACAAAGATTAATATCTTTAAATTCATCTTGCTAATTTTTAACATTATACGGTCAAACCTTTATATATGCATGCTCTATAAATGCACACCCTCTATAATTGCACCCTATGACTCAGTCCCAACTAATAATGACACCGATAAAACTACACTTTATAAATACAACCTACAAATATACACTTATAGTTGGTCTCAAGGAAGTGCATATATGAAGGTTTGACTGTGACTAGTTACCGGCAAAAATACAGTAAAATCTCGCTAATAATCATCTTGGCTATAAGCACAATTATCAGTTCACTAATACTTTACTTAATAAGTTTACTTTAAAATTGCATTTAAATATATATTAGACGTGTTAGGTTTATATACTATTAGATCCACTTATAGTAAATGCATTATTTAAAAAGAAAAAAATTCTTGTAAAATTATAGTATTGTTCACTATTAATTCAACCAATTTTAAAAGATGCAAATTAGCACAAATAATCTTATTTAACACTTGAGAAACCAGAAAATTCTTAACAAATAGAATGTATCCATTTGTTATTAAAGTCGAGAAGGATGAATATAAAGCATTCGTTTATTATTAAATATTTGCAAAGTGGACAATACTAATACTCTTGAAGTTTGTGATTCTTACCAATAGGTAATAAATGTTATAACCTTACCAAAATAAAGTATGAAATATTTGCTAAAATAGACAATGTATGATCAGAATTTTGGCCTCAATAGTAAATGAAATAATACTGGTATGTAATAAACATTGGTGTCCCTTATCAATTATTCTAATGAAATAACGCTTTTGGAAGTCACGACCAGAATTTTGGTCTCTATAATAAATGATATGCTGGTAGATAATAAATGCTAGCACTCTTACTAATGCTGATGAAACAAATGCTCTTGAAAATCATGATCAAAATTTTGACCTAGTAAATGAAATAATACTGGCAGGTAATAAATGTTAGCATCTTTCCAATTCTAATGAAACAACACTCTTGAAAATCATGATCGGAATTTTGGCTTCTATAATAAAATAATACTGTAGGTAATAAATGTTAACGTTCTTACCAATTCTAATGAAACAACGCTTTTTGAAAATCATGATCAGAATTTGGCTTCTATTGTAAATGAAATATCAATGGTAGATAGTAAATGAAATATTACTAATAGGTAATAAATGCTAGTGCCCTTACCAATGCTGATAAAACAACCGCTCTTGAAAATCGTGATTAGAAATTTGATCTCTATAGTAAATGAAATATTACCGGTAGATAATGTTAGTGCCCTTGAAACTGTGATGATGATATCTCGCGCAAGTATTCAAACAAAAATTTAATAATGTTGAATGTGTTGATATCAATTTCGCCTAATTCTATATTCGTAACCAGGCAAAATTCTAGAATTGAGTTAATGAATAATGCGAATAGAAAAGATGAGATGATCTGTGAGTTTCGTTGACGAAAAGAGAAAAGTTTAAAGCATACTTGCCTATTAAAGTGATCCTCAATATAAAAAACTTACTTAACCTTATTGTTGCAATGTTTTCACAGGGTTGACCTACAAATTAACCCGTGGGTTGACCCACCTACTATATATATTCGTAGACCCACCTGGATCTATAATATAGACGAAAGATTTTAGTGAAATATAGAAGATTCAGGTATACTATAAGAAACAATATTAAAAGACCCAAGTATAATATAAATTTTGATTTTCTTCATATAACGTCTGTGAAACAGACCCCAGATCTATTACTGTATTGAAGATTCTAAAATTGGTGAAAGGTACCAGACCCGGGTCTTGTATACACACATTCACGGTACTTTACCTGAGTCATGTAACTGTTTAAACTAAATAGAACTCATTAAATTAGTCGAGTTAGAGCGAAAAACAAAATCTTTCTTATAACTTATCTTTAATTTACAAAGCCATGATTAGTTCTAGTAAAAATATGCAGTTTCGCATGAGGTATACGTAGTGTTGATCACCCTTATAAGTTCGGTAATTTGAATCTAAATAGAATCTATAAGTTTCAGTTTATATAAGTTTAGTAAAACAAAGTTGGCACAACACTGGGTATGCGAGATCTAAAGCTTATCATACTACATATATATATATAAATTTATGTGAGCGAAAGTTTATTATAGTGTTTACAGATTTTACCTAATAAAGGCAGGTTTTACATTATATAAAAAAAAAAAGCAGATTTTATCTAATTAAAGGCGGGTTTGCACAAATACTTTTAATAAAAGCAGATTTTACATGTTTTGATAACTAAACTCAGGTATTACATAATTATCTCAAATTTTACATAATATAGCTAATAAACACGAGTTTTACCGGTTGGCAACTCAGGTTTCACCCTGTCGTATTTTATTTACTAAACTTACAATGAAAACACAGAATGTTATTTATTTACTTTATATTTTGAACTTACACAATATGAAACATGATTTATTTACTTTAAACCACGGAACATAGTTATTTACTTTTATATCTCTGAAATAACTAATACTGCAGAAAATCACAGTATTTTACTGAAAACATGGGAAATTATTTATATCTTTGAACTCATGCTGAAAACAAGAAACATCTTTTATAATGGAAGGTAGGAATAAAGTCTCTTTAATTTTTTTCTACTGTAAAATTCTTCAGGATCTTCATCGGGAGGTCCATTCTAATTCTATTTCTTCGAGAGGCCCATTTCTCCCCTTGTAGAAAAGATGTTTGAAATCTTTTGTCAAAGCCTATTGACATTGAAAAAGAAGTCACTTATGTTTTTCTTTGGCTGCAAAGAGAAGAACTAACATTATCTTTTTTACTATATAAATAGGACCTCATTCTTGTTGCAGTAACCAGAGTTTACGATTCTGATGTCTGCCCTAACGAACAAGAGTTCGTAGAAAGGAGCCAAAAGATATGGAAGCAAGGGGCTAATTCAACACTCCAGTAGCTCCCCGGTTGTCGTAGTGCCCAAGAAAGGCAGAAGATTAAGTTTCTGTGTCGACTATCGCAGGTTGAATGCCATCACCATAAAAGATGCCTACCCGCTTCCCAAATCGATGACCTATTGGAAGAATTCCAAAATGCAAAGTGGTTCTCTAAAGAGCTGCATTGTCTATATGATAACAAAAAGTAAGTTATTATAATAATGGTAATAGGTTTTTGTTGTATATAATTATAAATTTTTAATAGGATAGTTTTTTAGTCACGTGCATGTGCACTTCAAGGACAATCTACTCTTCAACACTTACCTCTCCCAAACCGACTTTGCCACCATAATTATAAATATAATTGCGTACAAAATACAATAAGTGACAACGATAATATAAATGAAAGGTCGAAAATATGGTGTTAAATTTTGTGCAGCTGAATACTACAGGTTTTTACCTAGAAGTCATGGTGATTATATTTTTATTATTTGAGTGCCATAGGGAAAACTTCGAACCGGCAATTATGGTTTATTATTTAGAATAATAAACTATAATTGCCGGTTCGAGGTTTCTCTGCGCGGATATAATAATCTTAATATTATCTAACATTATCATTATAATATCGACACATTCAACATTTAGTTTGTACGAAAAATTTACGGAAAAGACATTCATGTTAACCAATAAGCCTTGACAGGAAATATAAAAAAGGCACCAGATACAAATTTATAAAATAAAAATCTATACACTGTGTATAAAATATACGTAAATATATTATCTTATTATATGTATATCCAAGTCAGTGTACAGCCTTTCAAATTGTCATAAGACTAATTTTATGTCCCAATCAAAGTTCCATCTTGGATTTGTAATTCATACAATTACAAGTCATATTTTTCTTTTCATTAAAGTTTTTATATTTAATATTATTCATAAACATGGATTCTTAAAAACGACGAAAGTTTTTCAATAAATGAAAGTATTTGAGATCCCGAATATACCTACAATGATTTGCCAGCGAAGATGCTTCAACCAAAGATTATATATCAATTTTATTGAATCCATTATGCTCGAAATTAGTTAGTAGTCAGTTTCTAAATATAAAATCTGGCTTAGCTGGCTTAGCCGACTAAGTAGTGATCATATAAAAACATTTAAAATTCTTAATAATTTATAAAAGCTATGTATATACCATGATACATTGGGGTAGTAACTATCCAATGGTACCGATGGACCTGGGGTACATTGATACCATGTACCAACTAGTGATGCAGGCAGAACTTCAAGCATTGGGATAAGCCGTGCCATAACTGAGTTATAACCAGTTCTAACTTTTTGCTTTAAATTACGGTATGCTATAACTTGCATATTTACTAATATAATTGTTTATGGTATAACTTTTATATGTGCCGTAACTCAATTTTATATGCCGTAACTTGCCGTA